CACGAAACTGGGTGACTGGGCAACAAAATGGCAGATGAAATTCAATGTTGATAAATGCAAAGTAATGCACATTGGAAAACATAATCCCAACTATACACATAAAATTATGAGGTCTAAATTAGCTGTTACCACTCAAGAGAGAGATCTTCATAGAATCATAGAACAGGAAGGGACCTCAAGAGGTCATCTAGTCTAGTCCCCTGCACTCAATCTAGACCATCCCTGACAGGCGTTTGTCCAACCTGCTCTTAAAAATTCCCAATGATGGAGATTCCACAACCTCCTTAGGCAATTTATTCCAGTGCTTAATCACTCTGACAGTGAGGAAGTTTTTCCTAATTTCCAACCTAAATCGCCCTTGCTGCAATTTAAGTCCATTGCTTCTTGTCCTATCCTCAGAGGTTAAGAAGAACAATTTTTCTCCCTCCTCCTTGTAACAACATTTTATGTATTTGAAAACTGTTATGTCCCTAAACAAACCCAATTTTTTCAATCTTCCCTCATTGGTCATGTTTTCTAGACCTTTAATCATTTTTGTTGCTCTTCTCTTGGACTTTCTCCAATTTGTCCACATCTTTCCTGAATTGTGGTGCTCAGAACTGGACACAATACTCCAGTTGAGGCCTAATCAGAGCAGAGTAGAGTGGAAGAATTACTTCTCGTGTCTTGCTTACAATGCTCCTGCTAATACATCCCAGAATGATGTTTGCTTTTTTTGCAACAGCGTTACACTGTTGACTCATATTTAGCTTGTGATCCACTATGACCCCCAGATCCCTTTCTGCAGTACTCCTCCCTAGGCAGTCATTTCCCATTTTGTATGTGTGCAACTGATTATTCCTTCCTAAGTGGAGTACTTTGCATTTATCCTTATTGAATTTCATCCTATTTACTTCAGACCATTTCTCCAGTTTGTCCAGATCATTTTGAATTTTAATCCTATCCTCCAAAGCACTTGCAACCTCTCCCAGCTTGGTATCGTCTGCAAACTTTATAAGCATACTCTCTATCCTATTATCTAAAACATTGATGAAGATATTGAACAGAACCAGAACTGATCCCTGCGGGACCCCACTCATTGTGCTCTTCCAGCATGACTGTGAACCACTGATTATTACTCTCTGGGAACAATTTTCCAACCAGTTATACACCCACCTTATAGAAGCTCCATCTAGGTTGTATTTCCCTAGTTTGGTTATGAGAAGGTCATGCGAGACAGTATCAAAAGCCTTACTAAAGTCAAGATATACCACATCTACCGCCTCCCCCCTATCCACAAGACTTGTTATCCTATCAAAGAAAGCTATCAGATTGGTTTGACATGATTTGTTCTTGACAAATCCATGCTGACTGTTATTTATCACCTTATTATCTTCTAGGTGTTTGCAAATTGATTGCTCAATTATTTGCTCCATTATCTTTCTGGGTACAGAAGTTAAACTGACTTGTCTGTAATTCCCCGGGTTGTCCTTATTTCCCTTTTTTATATATGGGCACTATATTTGCTCTTTTCCAGTCTTCTGGAATGTCTCCCGTCTCCCATGACTTTTCAAAGATAATTGCTAATGGCTCAGATATCTCCTCAGCCAGTTCCTTGAGTACTCTAGGATGCATTTCATCAGGCCCTGGTGATTTGAAGACATCTAACTTGTCTAAGTAATTTTTGACTTGTTCTTTCCCTATTTTAGTCTCTGATCATACCTCATTTTCACTGGCATTCACTATGTTAAATGTCCAATAGCCACCAACCTTCTTGGTGAAAAACAAAACAAAGAAGTCATTTAGCACCTCTGCCATTTCCACATTTTCTGTTATTATCTTTCCCCCCTCATTGAGTAACAGGCCTACTCTGTCCTTGCTCGTCTTCTTGCTTCTAATGTATTTGTAGAATGTTTTCTTGTTTCCTTTTATGTCCCTAGCTAGTTTGATCTCGTTTTGTGCCTTGGCTTTTCTAATTTTGTCCCTGCATACTTGTGTTATTTGTTTATATTCATTCTTTGTAATTTGACCGAGTTTCCACTTTTTGTAGGATTCTTTTTTGAGTTTTAGATCATGGAAGATCTCCTGGTTAAGCCAGGGTGGTCTCTTGCCATAGTTCCTATGTTTCCTACGCAGTGGGATAGTTTGCTCTTGTGCCCTTAATAATGTCTCTTGGAGTCATTGTGGACAGTTCTCTGAAAACATCCACTCAATGTGCAGTGGCAGTCAAAAAAGCAAACAGAATGTTGGGAATCATTAAGAAAGGGATAGATAATGAGAGAAAATATTATATTGCCTGTTTATAAATCCATGGTACGCCCACATCTTGAATACTGCATGCAGATGTGGTCACCACATCACGGAAAAGATATATTGGAATTTGATAAGGTTCAGAGAAGAGCAACAAAAATGATTAGGGGTATGGAACAGCTTCCATATGAGGAGAGATTAAAAAGACAGGGACTTTTCAGCTTGGAAAAGAGATGACTAAGGGGGAATATGATAGAGGTCTATTAAATCCTGACTGGTATAGAGAGAGTAAATAAGGAAGTGTTATTTACTCCTTCTCATAACACAAGAACTAGGGGTCACCAAATGAAATTAATAGGCAGCAGTTTTAGAACAAACAAAAGGAAGTATTTCTTCACACGATGCACAGTCAACCTTTGGAACTCCTTGCCAGAGGATGTTGTGAAGGTCAAGACTATAACAGGGTTCAAAAAAGAACTAGATACATTAAATCGAGGATAGGTCCATCAATGGGTATTAGCTAGGATTGCAAGGGATGGTGTCCCTAGTCTCTGTTTGCCAGAAGCTGGGAATGGGCAAGAGGGGATGGATCAGTTGATGGTGACCTGTTCTGTTCATTCCCTCTGAGGCACTTGGTGTTGGCCACTGTCAGAAGACAGGATACTGCGCTCAATGGACTTTTGGTTTGACACAGTATGGCCATTCTTATGTTCAGAGAATCTCTAGTTTATAATTTTGTGAAAAATAAAAACATATTAACTAAATTTTACTGAAAGTACCAATTTCACTTATTCAATGCACACAACCATTCCTTGTGGTTGATTTTTGAACATGCTTTAAATTTACACCGGAACCCCATTTATTGGATCTAATTGGGACTGGGGCCAGATCCGATAATCAGGAGAAACGGCAAAGAGCTTTGTATCCCTCATTTTAAGATGGGGGTGGGGAGGTTCGGGGCAGTCAGCTGGAGCCCCAGCCACTGTCAGCCCTGGGTGGCTGGTGGTTCGGTTTATACAGAGAGACGGATAATGGAGGCTTGGATAAACAGGGTTCTACTGTACATCAATAAAATGTGTTCAAATGGTATCTGTATATATTGTGGGTAGTGAAACTAAAGTTCAGCATTTCATTTTAATCATGGAAAAAAACACGGATTTTATGGGGGGGGGTAATCAGAAAATGTTGGGGCTTTTTTCATCACAGAAATCTAGGATCCCTGGTTATGAGACTACAAAAAGCATTTTAAAATCTCTATGTTATTAAGGTTCTCACATTTTAAAAGTGGTTGTGTAGAAGAGAGGCAATGCCAGGTGGCTGTAAAGAAAGTGTCTTTCTAAACAAAGGCCCACACTCATACCTGAAGTAGGGCTTCCCTCAGCCCTTGAACATAATAACAGTAAATGAACAAGGCCAATTCCTGCCAACTTCCCAAGTAGTATAGAAGTATGGCTTCCTTCAGCCAGTCAAAGTAAGGATATCAAGATGTGTGTTTTTCAGCAAGTCCCCCAAAATACCAGATAAACAGTCCAACTCATGGCTCCCTTCTAACACAGCCTCTTTGGGAAGGGCAGTAGTCAATTTAACAGCTCTTCCTTGATGGCTTTGGGACTAAGTCCTTTGTTCCACAAACTTCCTAACCCCTTTTCTTCTTAGGCAGGTAGGAAAGATTACTTTTCTCTTAAGAACCAACCAGCCTAATAACAAAGAATTGTCCTACCAGATCAGACCAGGGTCCACCTAGTCCAGTTTTCTGTCTGGCAATGGTCAGTGACAGCTCCTTAAAGGGAAGGTGCAAGAATCCCCAAAGTGGACTGCCACCCGCTCCTCCTATGGCTGCTTTGTTGTCATGAGACCCATCTAGAGGAATCTCCTTTATGGTCAACTTAAGCAATTCCTCCAAGGCAGGACAGGTACTCATACCTTTTCATACTGCAAGCTTTAACACATTCCCTGCTTGAATGTGGGGTATATACTCCCTATGATAAGCTGATTAGATTTCCCACACACACAATTTTGTAAGATACGAGCCATGCAAGTACTGGTCTACAATGGAACTCTTTATAATAGAAATAATTATAACTTTAAAAAATAACATTTTATACTCATCATTTGGTATTTTAAATGAATTATTTGTAGGTCTCTGTGGCTGTCACAGAGGTCGAGGAAGTCACGGATTCTGTGACTTTCCGCAACCTCTGTGACTTCTGCAGGAGCCAGTGTGGCTGACCCCAGGGCTGCCCAAGCAGCTAGCTCCGGAACCAGCTGCTCAGGTGGCCCCTGGGACAGCCACACCAGCCTTCCCGGGGTGGCCAGAGCAGCTGCGATCCACAGCCCCAGGCAGCGGTTCCCAAGCAGCCGCAGTCTGCTGGCTCCGGCAGTGGTCCCCTGGCGGCCGGCCAGAGCAGCCGCGGTTCCCAGCCAGCCAGCCGGAGCAGCCGTGGTCCGCGGTCCCTGGCAGCTGGTGCCCCCCACCAACAGCACTTCCCCCCAGTGCCACCCCCAGCAGCAGCCCCCTCCAGTGTTCCCTCCCCAGCAGAGCCCCCGCCCCCAGATTTAATCACAGGTATTTTTAGAATAAGTCATGGATAGGTCACGGACCGTGAATTTTTGTTTATTGCCCATGACCTGTCCATGACTTATTCTAAAAATACCCATGACAAAATCATAGCCTTAATTATTTGAACTAGTTTTCCAGTGTTTTTATCCAATATAAAAATCTCCTTCAAGCACATTCAAAAGGTTAAACATCTGATGATTTTTTGTTTCACCTTAGACTTGTCAAATCTTCTAAGTGTTTCCAGCAGCTTAACAATTTGTATTCTTGTATCTTCTTCACAGAAGAAAATCCATGAGGAGTTTCTACCATAGGAAGCAGAGAAGCTAACAAAAGAAAGAGGTTGGTTTACTACAAGATTGACTTCTGAGGAGATTACAAACCTTAAGTAAAAACAAAAACAAAAACCCTGCTAACTGGAAGTCAATCCCTCAGCCATATGGACCCCAAAGCAATTAGTGCTAATGGAGGATCATGTATCAGAACCCATATGCAGTGCAATGTAGATGTCTGCTTAAGAGAAACTCAAAGACCCTGCCCTCAGTTCCTGATTGTCTGCCCATAATCTGCACAGAGAGGAACGTGGATGTGCAGAGTAAGTAAATTCTGAGTTCTCCAGGTACTGGTACATAACCTACTTCCCCTCCCCCTTACCTTTCTTCCATAGAATCCCCTCGTTGGAGGTCTAACAAACAGAGTAATAACCTTAGAAGAGATACTGGTTGGTGTTTTAGCAAAACTGTCCTGTTGTGCACTCCAAGAAGATCTTCCCATTTTTCTCTCAGTCAAATTCTTTCACAACTAAAATATCTATTAGCCAAATAATGCCTCCTTGTACTCTTAAAGGTGTTTTTATTGTCCTTCTTCGGGGGGGGGGGGGGAAAATAGTGCTTCTGGATAACGGGAAACAAAGATGCATCAGTGGAGCAGTACTGCACAAGAGAATAATGTCTTGTGAATGTGTGGTGGAACTCCATGTAGATGCTTTGCAAATGTATTTCCTGAAGGGATGCCACTGAAGTTACTTATGCTCTTATAGAATGAGCCCTCATCCCATGCAGAGAGGAACATACCACAACTGATAACAGATACAGCCAGAGATCAATTTAGAGATCCTCTGGAAGGAAACAGTTTGACTTTGGACTCGTTCTGCTATAGTGAGAAATAATCTAGGTGATTTTCTAATTGGTTTAGTGCTTTGCAGGTAGAAGGTGAGAATGCGTTATACGTTGAGGGAATGAAGACTCCTCTTTTCCCCCCGATGCATGCGGTTTCAGAAAAAAAAAACCACACAACTAAGTGGTTGATTGGGTTATGTGAAACTCTGAAATTACTTTGGGGGGTGAATTTCAGATGTAGCCGTAAAGAGACTTTGTCCTTGTGGAATATAATGTATGGCGCAGCAGCGCTCCCAGATCACCTTCCCTCCTGGCTGAGGTGATGACCATAAGGAACACAACTTTAACTGATAAGTGAGACATGGTTTGAAGGGAGGCTTACTGAGTGCCAAAAGAACAAGGTTTAAGTCCCATTGATAAGTATGTTTCCTTGCTGCTGGGAAAGTTCTGATTAGGCCCTTTAAGAATCCGTTAATCAACAAGTGAGTGAAAATTGAATAACGTCTGATCGTGGATGGCATGGATGGATTGCTGTCAGATGGCCTTGTACAAAACTGAGGGAAAGCCCAGCTGTTTTGAGAGAGAAAAAGTAGTCCAAAATGAGGAGAATATCTGCTGACTCAGGAGATACATGTTTCTGCTGCGGTCAGATGGAGAAATGCTTCCACTTGGCTGAACAGCATATCTAGTGGAATCTTTTCTGCTATTAAGGATGGCTTATGCAGTTTGAGAGCAGACATGTTCTACTGTTGATGCCCATCCAAAAACTAAGCCATGAGATGAAGCACTTTGGGGTTGGGATGCTTGATCCTTCCCCATCTCTTCACCCAGAAGAAGAGTAAGGACTGGAGGCTGATCAGGGGACATTTGGAAACTAAAATTATCTGGATCAGCTGGAGGTGATGAGGATGACTCATGCCCTGTCCTGACAAATTTTCTTTAAGACCCAAGGTAGGAGTGGTAAGGGAGGAAAGGCATAGTTCAGATGGCCTGACCAGGGGAGATGGAGAGCATCACCTTGAAAGTGTAGTCTTAGAGCTCCTCTGGAACAGTATATGTTGCAATTCTTGTTCGTTTGGAAGGCAAAGAGATGCCAGATGGGGATCCCTCGTTAAATAAAGATGTTCTTAACTACCGAATCATCCAATTCCCACTCATGATCGATGGTGAAATGCCTACTGACGGCGTCCACCAACACATTCGGAGTTCCTAGAAGGTAAGCTACCATCAGGGTGATTCAATTCCTGTTACACTCATTCTATATAGCGATTGCTTTTACACACAAGGGAATGGATTTCACCCCTTCATGTTTGTTGATGTAAAAGGCAGATGTCATACTGTCTGACATTATGAGGACGTGATGTGAATAGATAAATTGCAGAAAAACCCTGCAAGCGATTCAGACTCAATGTTCCAGAAGGTTGATGTATATCCTGGTCTCCTGGGGTGTCCAAGTGCCCTGTGCCATATGACTGTCTATGTGGGTTCCCAGGCTGAGAGAGAGGAGTCTGTAATGATCATCTTGTCTGGCGAGGATGGTAGGAAGGGGACACCACACATCCCTGATGGAAATCCTTCCTCATCACACTAGCGAAGGAGTTATCCTGGAAGGAATTGTTACCATGGTATTTATGCTATGTTTGGTTGGTGAATACAATGTCTGGAACCACACCTAAAGGAAATGTAGGTGGAGTGTGCTGAATTGGCTAATGTAAGTGCAAGAAGCCATGTGCCACAGGAAGGAAAGACAAGTACTGTGTGGGGCTCTAGAGTTGCACATAACCTGATCTATCAGGTCACTAATGGTGTGAAACCTGTCCCTTGGTAGATAAGCTCTTGTCGTGACTGAATCTAGGTTGGCCCCTAAGAAGTCTACAGTCTGCATCGGAGTGAGGACGGACAGACTTTCCCAAGTTCACATTGACTCCTAGTGAAGAAAGTAGTGGAAGAATTAATAAGGTCAACTCATAGGCTTCCTGATGTGTCCTAGCAATGAGAAGCCAATTTTCAAGATAGGGAAAGATGGTGAAGCTGTTCCATCTGAAATGCACTGCTATTACTAGAAAGACCTTGGGGGCAGTGGTGAGGCTGAATGGAAGCTCTCCTGTACTGGACATTATTGGGGCCCACCACAAATCTGAGAAAACACCCATGGGCAGAGTGAACATCCATCTGAAAGTAAGCATCCTTCATATTGAGAGCTGTAAATCAAATGTCTTTTTCCAGGGAGGGATTATTGACACCAGAGTGACCTGTGAAATTTCAGCTTGTGAATAAAGTGACTGAAAAGATCGAGTATAGATCTCTAACCTCCCTTCTTCGTGGGGAGTAGGAAGTATACAGTAAAAAATCTCTCCCTTGGTGTTGAAGGGGTAGCACTCTATTGCTCCTCACTCAGAAGGGATTCCACTTCCTGCGTGAGAATGGTCCCTGAAGAGGGGCAGGGATGGGGGTTTTGAAAGAAAAAGGGAAGTAAACTCAATTGCATAGCTAGACTGGATGATATCTAATACCCACTTGTCCATTATGGCACTCCAGTTATGCAAACAGAGTGCTAAATGATCCCCGAAAGGTATATGGGGATCGGGTAGTGGTAGCATCATTAATAATTTGCAGCTCTTGAACTCCCATCAAAAATATCTTTTTGCTGGAGGATGGGATTGAGATGGTGCGGTAGATGTGGGAGGTGCAGGGAAACAAGACTTCTGTACTCTTTGTCTCTGATGAGAAGGGTCATAAAATTATTGGTGATAAAATTGTTAAGATGTTGGTCTGTCTGTAAGGCTGCCTTTGATGCTTCCTTTTTGGGGCAGGTGTCTATATTCCCAAGAAGTGGAGGATGGCCCTGGAGTCCTTTAAAATATGAAAGAACTCATCCATCTTTTCATTGAAAAGGTGGGCTTCATCAAAGGGCAAGCCCTCTACAGAATTTTGGACCTCTCTGGGAAATCCTGAAGTGTGTAGTCATGACTTATGGCGCATCACAGTGGATGTTGCTATTGACCTAGTTTATGTGTCTGCTGCATCAACTGCTGACTGAAATACAGTTCTGGCTTATCCTCCTCAATAAGACCCTGAAAGTGGGCACTGTCATGCTGTGGTAGCTTGTCTATAAAGTCTCAATTTAGAATAGTTCAGATAGTCATATATAGCCAACAATGCTTGCTAGTTCACTGGGGCAACAGGATAAGACAACGGGCTATATATGGTCTGGTTTAAAAATAAATTACTCATTCTCCTTAGGCACGTAATCTGAACGTTCAAAATTAAGACGCACCTAACCTGATGAATAAAGTGGAAAATGTTTTATAATAAAATTTGAAATTATATTTGACATTTCTGGGCCCCCACTATTAGTAGAATGTTACAACAAGTTACTGTCCACTTGTAAGACTTACTATCTCATGTGGAGAAGCTTTGCTATCAGGGATTATAGCAAGGATGCTACTGTAATACCTTATTTATCTAGTTTCTTCTCTCTTTAGCTAAGGCTGGATTTAAAAGACCTTCTTCACCTTTAAAGCTCACTATCCATTCTTGAGATCTTGTTTACACAATCTAGCCAACTCTCCTTAAAGCTGACAAGTATTCACTGCATTTGCTTTTGGTAGCCGGTCATAAACAAATATACTTTAACACTAAGTAGCTGGCCTGCTATTATGTGGAAGATACAAATTTGAGTCCCAGGCCAGAAGGGGTGGGGAACGCTACTGAAGCTGGAGGGAGGATCAAGCATAGCTCACCAGCAACCTCACCAGCAAGCTCGCTGAAGGGTTCTGGAGAGAACCATCTCTGGACTCTCTTCTACTGAATGGTGGAGGAGAAGAAATAAAGTGAGAAATCACTTTGCCCTTTCCCCATCCCAGAGGAACAGAAACACTAAATACGAGAAGGAAAAGCTCAGAAGAAAATTTGTTTCAGATACAATGTCAGGAGAAAGAACAGCAGCTACTGGTAGGGTCATCTCAGACATTGTATGTTATATATTATGATATGAAAGGGTACCTTGTCCAGTAATTTTTCTGACTTCTTCATTCGTCTTCCTATATTCATATGTTATTCCCAATATTCTTCTCAGATATTTGTGATGAAATGCATCCAGCTTTTGCATATCTTTCTTGGTAAATTGCCACGTCTCACTGCTATATGTTGTGATGGTGATAACAATTGCTTTGTACACATTCAGTTTTGTCTTGAGGGAAATGTTT